CATGGTTAAAATACTAATATTTGTCATGTTTGCAGAATTTTGGTGGTCTTTTTATCAAATTCGTATTTGATAAATTGTGCTTGTATTACTCCTGCATAAACCTTCTACATTCATTTAGGAGTTGCTTATTTGGATGTTTGCAAAATGCATATATTTTAGAAATACTAAATAATTAGAATGCATGTATTTTTGAAAACTTGGACTACTTTGGTTAGATGTAAATCAATTGCATTTAAATACCATTTGTATTAGTTAAGATACAATGCAAATTACTTTTTTCTCTCTTCTTGCATCTCTTATCTATAAACTCGAGGTGCTGATCAGCTAGGCAATGGGCAACTGGGACAAGGGTGGGCTCAGGCGAGGTTGAGATGGATGATTTAGTGCGGGATTTCCAAATGAGGGGAACAAAGAAGGGGTTGGGGATATTTCAAATGCTTCAAAATTTTAATTTGAATTTTTTTTCCTTCAAACCAAAAAACTAAAAAAGTTGAAATGCAGGGAAATAAAGTGCAATGTACTAATGATACTTCCGACCAAGTATTCCTCAGTCATTTCAATTTCCTAGGCTTCATCAAAACTATTCAATAATAACTATTATTTGATACTATGCCCCATTATTTATTTTAAGGTTTCAATTGCTTTGTTGAATTATACTACTATTCAATGTTCCATTCATTGCCTTTGCCATGTGCATGAATATTACCTATATTTGAAGGAAGTCTAAAAGTTTATGTTGTAACTTCTTCAATCGGTTATCTGTTCAATTCATTTTTTTTTGCAAGTTGGAATTGCAGTGATATGACAAGAAAGCTACTGCCTCTTAATACATTAAAAATTCCATGTTCCTAGAAACTTTGTAAATTCAGCTGCTTAATCTTACGGTTCATTTGTCTGCTTGAGTTGGAAATCATGTTTAGAAAAAAGAGTCAAGTCTATTATTTGTTTGAATGTAGTGAGTTTTCAGCTTTCATTTCAAATTACACAAACCTTCTCTAAACTCCTTATAAATAATGATTTCCTTTTTTACACTCTAAATGAGTGAAATTTAATTTGTCTTCTAAAGCTGGTTTTTGATTTGGGTAATCAAGTGATTCTGTTTTGCTTTTATTTTTGATATCCTTGATTTATTTTTCGTTTGAAATTGTAATGTGATGATTTTTTTACAATTTCTTATTAATGTATGGGAATGTAAGCAGACATTAGAGCAATGCATATTGCGACATTTCAACGCAAGCCATACAACAACTATATTATGCTAAACAATTAAGAATTCATGTGAATGGAGAGGCTTGCCATGAAACATAAATTTGTCCCTTAAATAGTAATGACTTCACCACATAGTGACTTGTTTACTCCTAAGCAGGTTATATTGATCAGAAAGGATGTTTCTCGTGTCTGCAAACAAAAGATCCAGAAGGTCAAGTTAAAATTTATGGTCTGATTTGATATGCTTGCAGCGTAGTAATTTTTAAGATCAAATTCAGATAACTGTCAATGATACCTCCCTCTAATCCACAAGCAAAGTTCCCGATGCTTGCAGCGTAGTAATTTTTAAGATCAAATTCATATCTCCCTCTAATCCACAAGCAAAGTTCCCGCTTATTGAGTTTCTACATTATAGTTATTAAGGTTTCTTCGCCGATGAGTTGATTTTTTGAGATAGCCCTGAAAATCTTATACATGAAGAAATATGAGGATGATGTTTTACAACCTATTGAGGAAATCTTTCTTGTAACCTAGTTAGTCTAGGGCTTTGATATCCACCTCTACACCCTCATATTGATTTTATCTCAATAGGCTAGGTGTTTTAATCTCTGCTAACTGCTCTTGATTTTTTATATACACCATAATTCTATAAAAGAACCCACAGTTTTATGTCCTGTTGTGTGCGGGGTTCCATATCTGCATAACAAAGTGCTATTTACTAATTTTTAATCAATGACTAATGTTTTTTTTTTAAATTTATTTTAGGGGATATATATGAACATGCTGTTGTTTTGAGTGTAAAGACTGAGGACCAAGATGCTTTTGAGAGGGATTTCTTTCAACTGAAGCCTTTTTATACTGACACATGGTGAGATTCTTGTTTCTGAAATTGGCTAAACGATATTGTGGGGGTTGTTCTTTGATATTTTTGAAAGCCATCATGAGAATTGCAGAAGCAAATCTCTCAATTAAATTCATCAAAACGTTTTATGATCATGCTTATTCTATATGTATTTCTTGCATTCTTGTATTTTGGTTTTCATTTCTTATAGTATTTCAGTCCTCAAAAGAAGTTTGATGATCTTCATATTTAGCTGGTTCTTATTTACAGTATTTTTTCATTCATTTTTTAAACCTTAATTGTCTGTCTACATGCTATTGAATTTGTTAAGTAAAAGCTTTTTACCATCAAAGGTGGTTTGATTAGAAGTAGGATTTAATCCAAATGGGATTTAGTAATGTATGTAAATTTCAAGATTTGTGAGAGAGAGAATTAATTCTTGAATCACTTAAATTTCGTGAATGATGAGTTTTGGCAAACCTAGCATACTTATTTAGTTAAATAATTTTGGCAAGTGCTAAACATAGATTTTCATTTCTTATTGTAATAATTAATTTATATTTATCTGATTGTATGATAAATGCATATTCTACTATGTGGTGTTAATACATTTTTACATGCATTGTAGAATTTGCAATAAAAGACAATTATTCTTAATATTTTTTTTAATTCATTTATTATTTTTAATTTTACGATATAAAAATAATAATAACATGTTCAACGTGTATTTGTGTCTTATATTTTTAATAATAAAAAAATCTCTCACGCTTAATTCTGCATATTGAGCTAGCTCATGAGTCGGCTTGTTTATTTTAAAAAAGTGAAGATGACGTTAATTCAAATTAGTATTATAACAAAAGATAAATAATATTAGCTATTAGGAAATGCATAGTAAAAAAATCACCCAATATAAAATGCAAATTATAAAATTTAAAGGTTTTATGGATAAAGTTTTTAATTTAATATGTTTGAATGTTTTTTATTTTAATATTTCTTTAACAAATCGAGTTGGTGCTAGTTTGAGCTTGCCTTGTTAGCTCGTCGAGCTCAACTCCCCCGCCACTTATTGAGTCGCGTCTGAGCTGGCTCATAAGTCGGCTTGACTTAGTTACATCTCTATCAAAGTCTTTTGCACCTCAATTTTCAATGAGGTTTTCTCAATCAATAGAATAAGATTCCTGATCGAGTTTCTCCTAAATGAATCCAACTCAATGACAATTGTTCCTGTTGAGAAATTAGGGCGAAGAAAAATAAAAATCGACACAAATTCAGAAGAACACACAGAGATTTAACGAAGTTCAGCAAAGATGCCTACGTCATCGGGAGCAGAGCAGCGAATTTTACTATTTTAGAGGAGTTCAGTTTATACCCATAGGGTTACACTTCATATATATATAGATAAAACCCACAGATAAAATTACTAACACGTCCTCGCTCCCCCAACCCACTAAATTCCAAGAGACATCTCTTCAATTTAAAGAGACACTGCTCTTCATTCCAGGAGACATCTCTTCAATTCCAAGAGACACTCTTCATTCGAGGAGACATCTCTTCAATTCCAAGAGACGCCTAATTCTGGTATGAGTCATACCTAAAAAATCTCCACCTTGGCGAATATAAGTCTCTTAGGAGAAATACATCATGGAGTTTCTTACACCAAAGTGGGTTGGACAACCATGTCGTCTAACAATTGCAAATATTCAACAAGTTCAAGCAATGCAAGAACTTGTTGATAGGATCTGACTTGGTCAACATATCTGATGCATTTTCATCATATGATTTAACAAAGTGAACTCCACCTATAACTGTACTCCCCAACAGTTCGTAGATATTACCTGCAGTTATCTTTCCTTTCATCACAGTCAATGCACCTTTAACAATTCTGATGGTTTTCTCTATCCTCATCTTCCTCAGAATTAAAATCATTTATGTGTAAAGTGCCCAAGAAAATTAGATTCTTTTTCAAATATGAAATATGACTTACATCACATAATATTATGACAGTGTCATCATACATCTTAATTCTGACTTTGTCAATGCCAACAATATTGTAACATTTATCATCATCAAAATATACTGAACTAACATGTATGAAGTAAACCATTCATTGTTATGTGTTATGTGATAAGAACATGTGATAAGAACATCCTGAATCAATAATTCATGCATCCTTCAACTGAGTTGTTGTAACTGAAAGTGCATCACCATCACTGTAATTTGTAATGTCACTCTGCACCATATTCATGGACTTGAAAGATACATCATGTTTTTCATCAAACTGCTTCTTGAGCTTTGGACAATCTCTCTTCATATGCCCAGGCTCCTTGCACTTGTAGCAATGAATCGTTTTTTTGCCTTTAGGATTTGACTTGAAATTTCGCATTCCAAAACTCTCCTCCTTCCTTCCACGATTTTGATTACCCTTAGCATATAAACAATTACCATGAGAGCTTTCCCCTGCATTCTGCTTCTGCTGGTTGTGAGTAAGGATGTAAACGAGTCGAACACGAGCGAGCCCAGGCTCAGCTCGTG